TTTTTCTTCTGTATATTAGATCCCCTTTTTGAACATAAAAATGGATGAGGTTATATTGTACTATAAACGTATATTGCTATATCCTTAAAACCTTTCGCTTAAATATACCCTTGATTAAAAATAACTGCATTTTGACCTTGATATATGCTTTAAGAGTAAAGAACTAGGCCTCTTTACATTTCGTTTTTCGGTAAATTTATCATTTGCTTCTTAATAGATGAACTTAATCAATGGAACTTCTAAGATGCTCTCAGTTCTTGATCCAGCTCTTCATCCAAGTGCAGAGGCAGCGGCTTCCATATTAATCGAGCGTTTCAACTTGTACACCAGTTCGCAGTACGGCCAGGCCCTACTCACGTCTCAAGACAAGGCCAATCGCTTGCTCAGTTTATTGCCACCAGATTTGCATGTAGCCCGCGATGAATTAGCTGGCCACTGGAGCTACTCAGAAGACTTTATTGGGAATGAATCCGAAGATTCTCGAAGGCAAAAAGTGTCTGAGGAGGCTGGTTTGAATCAAAGGCCCCATGGGGTTGATCTCTCGGTAAAGCGATGGAATACACTAAAAACGTTCTTAGCCAAAACGAATAGACAAACTGTCACCAAGACCATTGCTCTTAACTATCTTTATCCACGATTGGATGTCAATGTTACTACAGGTGGGCCTAAACATATTTAATAATGGCCTTCGCATTTTCCCACATTGAGCTTACCTAATCTCCTCGAACACCGCATATTTGCGGCATAGCCATTATATTTTATGTACAGAGATTATCACATTTTAGAATGTAATATGAATCCTATGACTCCTTAAACTAAAGAAGTTATTGAAAAAATTTTCTGCGTTCTAGATTGCACTTTCTCTCAGATTCCAGTTCTGTCTATAAATTCGTTAATCACAGTAAGCCAAAAACAGCATTTATCGTATACATTTAAAATGTTTTTATCTAATTCGTTCCAAAATGGAAAGCTTTCACGTCTCTAAGCTGCTTATACAACTACTGCATAACCTCTTTTTCGCTGGATTCTTTTGCCTAATGTCTGACTTTTATTCCGGCAACTATGTCAGTAATATCACGGCTTTGTCTTAATCCCGATTAAGCATTAACCAGTTGAGTCTAATACTTTCACAAAATCGTCCTGCATATCTCCTAGCCAGCCTAGCTTATACAAAGCATTACTAAGCCTATGACTCGTTCAGGGCGAAGGAATACATTCAAATCCTAAATTCTGACATTACCTCCATGCATCCACGGAAGCCTACCTTATGACTTAAAGATTAGCTGATCTTCGAATAAATCCCCAATAGATTAATATTTTAATAACTTGTTTCGTTTGGAAAGATGGTCGAGAGATATTCGTAGATTGGCATCGCTGAAAACCGAAGGATTGTCCTGGAATCGTAAATATATATTTCTGAGGTCCTGTTCCTCGGAGCCGAAATATGGTGCACCGAAAGTTTCTCCGAAAAACCCAATAGTGATGCTCTCATAATTTATAGTGCTGCCAGCTTAAGAATTCCTTCCACCCTCTTTTCTCCGCTATGAAAAAAACCTCTATTGCCTTAACTTAAGGTCAGTACCTCATCAATAAAACTAAGTCTTTATTTTCGTGAATTGTCATTCCTTATTTATTTAGTACATAGATAAAGTGCAACTGGAAGTGATTTGACCTCGCTATTAAACTGGTTGTATGAATGTAGCTTATCCGAAGTCATCGGCCTTAGTAGACATGACAATTCCCGGCTTCAGACAGTGGATTTGGTACCTTCCCAGAGAATCCGCTGGCATCATCAGTGAGCTTCGCCACTCAGCACAAGAAAATTGAGACTCAGAGTTAAGTGAAGTCCGTCTCACTGACTAATCATCTGCTGAATACTTGGTCCTTTCCTCTCAAACTCATCTATCCCCACCCCTTCACAACCACAACCTTTAACTTGCTTGTTTCGGCCCTTTCTAGAAGTGTATCCTTATGATTGGATTTATAGCCCATTGGCACCCGTTGCTTTTTCCTCATTATACTGGAAATGTTGATCTAACTTGACATTTATTCTGAAATCTTCCTCATCCAGGTCCCATCGGGAACTTCCTCCTATCCAGTAAGCTCCTCCCAGGCAAATTGAATTCGCTCAGCAATTAGCACTATGTCTGTCCTGGTCTAGACTAGGCGAGCAAGTGCCCTGCATGTCTCTTCAAGTTGGATGAGGGAATAATCTACCTCACTTTGTATATGAGTTGTACTCAT